GATTTCGTTTTGAATTTGCCGCAACGCAGCAACGCAATTCGATTAGTAGTAACTCTACAGTATTTTAGTCCCCGAAAAAGCAACGGAATCAAGGACCTTTCCTACGATGAGGTACTAAATTACTCTCTTCAATCCGATTTGGCAATTAAGAGATGAACAATTGCTTTAGTCTTTTTCATTTAGAATAATGATGTTCTGTTGAATAAATAGAGCCTGAAAAATCAAGCACTTTCCTTCAATGCCCACTTGCCGGAATTCGTGTTTCTTCTCATATTTTTACCGTCATTAATAAAATGTATGTTTTCCCTTTCATAAGGGTGATCCGGTCTTAATTTAACCCTGACAAGTAAGAAATAAACATTAAAACTCGTAGCAGCATCTCGGAACCAGTTTTAATATTACACTTTTACATTCCAATCTTTGCATAGACACCTCTAATTTGATGGCTTGTTCAAATTTGCCCTAATTACTTTTGGCGATAATTCGTTGTGCTATTACAGCCTGCAAGTTTTCTGAAACTCCGTTAAATTATTCAGCTACACACAGCATCAAGTAACCTGCAATTCTGCTTGTTAATATCACATGCTATTCAGGCAGTATTACAAATTTTAAAAGCCTACTTTTTATTCTTAGAAATTACAATAACTATGCTAACTTGTTAACAGTCATTTGTTACACTCTTAAGTGGGCCATATTTACACAGACAGAACAGGTCGCGCGATGACTCGAAGCGAGCACACCAGTTCCTTAATAGGTGTGTACACCGATAGTGGATAAGCCGACGGATGGAGTGCTAAATGGTTTTATACGGAAACCAATCAAAGATGATGACCTGAGACAGGGACACGCATCAGTTGACCAACGTAATCTCGTTATATGTGACGTCACGCATGGACAGGCGCGTTGAGCGATTCCCCGATTCGCCCACGTTGTCTACCATACTTCTAATGGGCGCCATTGTTATTGGAAAACACAGGAAATACATAACAAAAATTGTTTGTAGACACGGAAAGGGTTTTTGCCTTATGCGTAAAATTAGAGCAAATTATCGCCGGGCATAGGCCTACCACTTTCAAAAACCGCCGCTCGTTACTGCTTGTCTGCGTAAATGGGGGCCTTATACAGCAAGGTACACATTACTTGAAAAGATAAAACTTTATCTTCCCTTCGGGACAAAATCAAATTAAGGAAAAGGCGGAAAATGCACACCCACCTATTCCCATTTGTGTATTCCAGATGAGCTAGTCAGCCCTACCGTATTGAAGATTCTCCAAGAGCATAATTAAGTCTAATAGGAATGACCAAATAATATGATAGGATTAGGCATAGCCAATGGTCACAGGATATTAAGGATTATTCTGCCTCCTAACTCATTCAATTATAGGTCAAATAAATCGGCAGCAAGAACTTGAGCAACAAGCACAGGCGAGTTCTGATGAAATGCCTGTGCTATGCTAGTGTGTGCAAGCTGCCGTGGGCTTACTGAGTAATCTAAACACAGCCATGTTTTTTGCGGTTTATTTATTCATTTTGGAATTTTGCAAGAATCGGTGAGAATGTTTCGATATATGGTGTCTTATGGAGATCCAGGAGAATGGGTTGAATAGGTCTCCATAAGGAATTTCTAAAGGTGTATAGGTCTCTACAAGGATTTCACGAAACTGATATTTGGAAATTGCTC